CAGAGGTCAAGGGCACAGCTGGATAGGGCTGAGAGAGGTCCTTCTGCCAGGCAGAGCCAAGACTCAGAGCTACACTCTTCAGTGTCCCTTCCTTCCTTATTTCCTTCCTTCCCTCCTTCCCTCCCACTGTCCCTCCTTTCCTTTCCTCCTTCCTCCCTGGGCCTGGAGGGCTGGCCAGGATCTTGATCATTCACCCTGTTCCTCTTACCCTGCCTGGTGCAGAGTTGAATACATCCTCTGTCTCAACATCCCCATAGACCATCAGAATGTCCTCAGCCATGCATGGCAGCCCATGCCTGTTATCCCATCATTTGGGAGGCTGAGGCAGGAGGATCTCTGGGAGATCAAGACCAGCCTGGGCTACAAAGTGAATTCAAGGCCAGCCTGAACTACATAGCAAAACTGTCAAAAACAAAACAAAACTGTCCCCAGCCTTGTCAGGGGTTACATATGATTTGGTTCCTTGTGTGGGTTTGTTCAAGTTTTCTTCAAAGATCATACACATGTTTGAAATTAGAAAAAGAAAGGGTGGGAGTATGGCTCAGAGCCGAATGTGTGCATAGCATGCACAAGACCCTGAGTCCAATCCCTGGTTCCACGAGAAACTTAAAAAAGAAACAAAGAGCCTGGAACAGGAAATCCCAGCTCCTCGGGAGGCTGAGGCAGGACAGCCACAAGTTTGAGGTCAGTCTGAGCAATTTACTGAGACTCTGTCTCAAAATAAATCATAAACAGGGGTAGGACTATGTCCTTAACCCCCGAGGTCTGCTGACCCTGGGTGGTTAGAATTGATCTGAATCCCACTCAGCATCAGAGTCAGGGGAATTGGTTGCTGTGATGATTGGTTTTGTGTCAATGTGGTCGTTGGACTAATGGACCCCAGATTGGGAGTAGAGCATCACTTCTGAGTGCGTGGAGTGTTTCTGGAGGAGATCAGCATTTGAATCAGTGGACTGGTAAAGAGGATCCGCCCTCCCAGTGTGGATGGCACCATCCAACCCCTCAAGGGCTCAGAGAATGGTAAGGAGCGGGAAGGGCGACGCTCTCTTGAGCTGGGCATCAACTTCTTCTGCTCTTGGTCATCACAGCCTCTGGTTCTCAGCCCTGTGGACTTGGGCCTGTCCCAACCCACCCTCCCCCGTTCTCAGTCCTCCACCTCTGCCTGCCTGAGGTTTCCTCCAAGGAGCACAGCCGGACAGCTCTGTGGATTCCCCCTGCTGGGGATCAGAGGACCCAAGGCCTTCATAAGGGTTTGCAGGTAAGGTCAGCTTCAGCTGCAAGGCTGTGAGCAAGTGTTGAGCCTGGGCTTTTTTTTTTTTTTTTTTTTTGGTGGTATTGGGGATTGAACCCAGGACCTTGGCACTGAGCTACATCCCCAGTCCTTTTTATTTTTTATTTCGAAACAAGTTCTTGCTAAGTTTCCTAGGCTGGGCTCAAACTTTCCATCCTCTTGCCTCAGCCTCTCACAGCCACAGTGCTGGGATTACAGGCGTGAGCTGCCATGGCTCTTAAAAAAATGGTTTCAAGGCTGCCCCTCCCTAAGCCTAAACCGGACTGCCTCCCTAACTTGGAAGCCAGCAGGGAAAAGGCAGAGGGGGATCCTAGCCAGGGCCCTGCTGTGGGTGCACAGTCTGCTCGGGCCAGGTTGGACACTTATATTCCTGGTGGGGGGACCTGAGCTTCTGGAACCTTCCTAAGGACACAGTGCTGGCCTTGTGGGTGGACACTTGCCCCAGCCTCTGCCCCGCCCCAGGTAAGCAGGGCCCACACACCGGTGGTGGGCAGGGCCTCGCTGTGCTCTACAGCTGGACACTGAAGCGTGAGCCTTGCTCCCACATCAGCAGAGGACTCCTGGGTGCTGTTCCTTCCCAGGCTTGGGTCACAAATACTAGGCTTCCAGCAGCTCCCAGAGGACCAAGCTCTACTGTCTCCCTTGTGGCCTACTTGATTCCTGAGGTCTGACTTCTCCAAGGCTCTAGCTCCCTTTTCTGGAGTGCAGTCTCTGGTGAGTGCTCATGGGGATCCTGAGGGGTAGGACCCCAAAGCTAGGGCTCACTCACTTTTGCTCATCTGCTCCCACAGGGTGACTGATAGTATCTCAGCGTCCCTCCCTGTCCTCCACCTCAGCCACAGCCACCTGAGTCCTCTGGGTTGCCCTCCCTACCTCGGAGAGGGGGCAGGGTAATCTCGCCCCTCCCTGGTGCCCAGCCTCCTGAAACACTTGGATTCCTCTCCTCCAGGCCCAGCCTTGTACAGCTCGGGTGAAGGGTCAGATCCTGCTACGCCCGGACCAGGCTCTGTCACATGACCCTTCCCAGGGCAAAGAGAGACAGTTTATCAGGGTGTAACCTATACCACCTGGTCATAAAGCCATAATAAAAGGAACATGCATCCAGGACAGCCAGGCACTCAAACATGTGATCCTCCTGCCTCAGCCTTCTGAGCAGGTGGGGATCACAGGCTACACCACTCTGTCTGATTTAATGTATTTTTCTTCTTGTGATAAAATGTGTATAACGTGTATACTTATAATGTCAGCACTCTGGGAGGCTGTGGTAGGAAGATGGAAAGTTTGAGTTCTTCTGGAATTACTGAGTGATAGGCCTTGTCCAAAATTTAACAAATAATAAGCTGCAAATGGTGATGGATGGTGGTAATCCCAGAACTTAGGAGAGTGAGGCAGAGGATCACAACAAGTTTAAGGCCAACCTGGGCTACATAGTGAGTTCAAGGCCAGCCTGAACTACATAGCCAGATCCTGTTGAAAACAAAAATCAGAAAATAAAAAAATAAGTTCAGTGGTAGAATGCTCCTGTGTTTAATTCCCAGAACTGAAAAAAAGTATTTCTTCAATATAGTGTGGACAAACTGTGGACTCAACTTTATCTTTTCTTTTTCTTCTTTTTTTTTTGAAACAAGATCTCATTAGGTAGTTCAGGCTGGGCTTGAACTCACTATATAGCCCACAGTTCAGTGTGGTCACACAGGCCTATAATCCCAGCACTCAGGAGGCTGAGGCAGGAGGATCACCATGAGTTCAAGGCCAGCCTGGGCTACTTAAGTGATCTCAAGGCCAGCATGCACTACATAGCAAGACCCAATCTCAATAAACAAACAAACAAACAAACTATGTAGCCTATAAATATGGGCTGGCTTCAAGCTCAAAGCAATCCTCCTGTCTCAGCCTCCCGAGGGCTGGAATTACAGGCGTATGCCACCACACCCAAGCCAATTTTATTTTTTCATAAATAGTCATCAAGTTGTTCCAGTATTACTTGTTTAAAAGTCCAAATTCATGACCCTGTATAAAGCCCATTGTAAAGTCAAGAAACTCGATTTAAAGAAATTAAAAGAAGGTAACCCCTCCTTCAGAAAAGGTTATGACTTCATGTGACCTGGGGCCTCCAACTTTCTGAGACAGGGTCTCGCTAAGTCAGTATCTTACTCAGGCTAGGCTCAATCTTGCAATCCTCTTGCCTCAAATTCCCTGAGTGCTGGGATCACAGGGGTGCACCACCACACCGGGCTCAGTGTTGCCTACTTCTGCCTCTGGAGTTCAGGGAGCTGCTAAGATAGTGCTTTGATGATAAACCCTTAATGTGAAAGCCCAGGATGGCACTAGAGAAATGACTCAGGGGAAGCTGAAGGATCCCCACCCATTGGGAGAGATCCTGCAGAGAGGAGGACCTAGGACCAGCCTGCTGGCAAGGACAAAGAGAAACACCTTTTCATGTCCCAAAAGGACCCCTCGGAAAACATCGTGGGCTGGTGGGCTGTTGCTGCCCCTGCCCTGTTGATGTGTTTACCAGCAGCTGCTTGGTGGAGGGAGGTCGCAGCACAGGGTGACTGGTGGTCCCCAGCGTGCCCAGCAGGAAGGGCCGCCCTGCTGGCCGCTTGGGGAACAGCACTGGGAGCTAGGGCTGAAGGCCACTACAAGCTCTCCACCCACAGACTCACCTGGAGACCCACAGGCTGCACTTGCCCCCTAGGGTTCCCACGTTGTGCCTGGCTCCCCGCGCCCCCCCCCCAGCGCCCTGGACTGGGGGAAATAGACTCCCCAGAGGAGCGCGCATATGTGTGTGCGCATGCTCACACGCGTCCCTGCTGCACCCTCCTCCTGAGCAGTTAAACCAGCGTGGCTTCATTAGGCAGCTCCTGCTGAGGGGGACCCAGAAATGTGGTCAGCCCTCCTGACTCTAGGACTCAGGGGGTCATCCCCGGTTCTGTCCCTCATCTGCAGCAGGAAAAAGAGGGGGCTCCCCAAGGGCTGGCCCCAACTGGGGGCCGCTGTCAGGATCTGTACCCCATTTCAGGCCTGCCTTCCCTGGTGCTTTCCCGGGGGGCAGGACCCCCTGACCTTGGACAGAGGCGGTTGGTAGACAGCCATCTGTTTTTAAATCTTTCCATTCTCATCTTTCAAGAAGAGGAATAGTTCTCCTTCACCCTGGCTTGGTCAAAGGTGGGGAATCAGTGAGGGTGGCCAGGCCTCCTTCTCTGAAGGCCCACAGAGTGGGTGGTGTGACCTGCACGGGTCCCCAGAGCCCGGCCCACTTGCCCCTTGACCTGTGACCTGGAGAAATGTCAGCGAGCTTGGTTCCACGCCTTTTGCGCGTGAAACACCCCAGAACGATGGTAGGTGACTGGGTATGGGAGACACGGGTGCCTAGTGCCCAGACTGCGCCTGTAGTCTGTGAGAGTCCCGGGAGCCCTCGCGCCCCAGGCCATCCCCCCCCCCCCGCCTGGGAAGAACGCAAGGCCTAGGTGCGCCTCGAGGAAGACAGGGCCACCGTGCTGACTCGGCAGGCCGCTGCACGTGCTTGGCAAAAAGTGGGCGACTGGTCCGGGGAGGAGAGAGGGGCGGAGGCCAACTAGGGGCTGGGACAGGGGCGGGGCATGACGCGTGTTGGGGCGGGGCCAGTGCGGCGGGCGGAGGGGGGCCTCAGAGCGGGGCTCGAGGGGCGGGGCTAACGCGGTGGGGTGGGGCCTGCGCGCGCTGACGCGCGATCCCGGAAGCGGTGTCAGTCTGGGAGCCGGCGGCGGGCAGCGGGCGGCGGGACTTGTTGTTCTTCACGAAGTCGGAGCGCTAGCGCGGGCGGAGGCGCCGTCCGCTGGGAGCGCGAGTGGAGGAGCGCGAGGGGAGCGCGTGCCCGCGAGGAGGCGCCGCGCCGCGGTCCGCGACGCCAGGTGAGGGAG